ACGCCGCCGCCCCACTTCACATGGCATGCGCTTTGCCTGTTGCATTTCCTCGACGGGCTGGGCAGGCTGTGTGGCCTCCATATTGCTGTTCTTGTAAGGTATATATTTCATCAAATATATTGCGGATTTCCTTGACAATTGGAGTTTACCCCAAAAAAAATATGGACGCGCTCAGATTCACGCAACATTGACGCATACAAAAAACAAGTCAAAATATCGAACGTTTGTTATCAGATTTATAAAAACGTCTCGAACGTGTTCTCTACATCCGCTCTTATCCGCTTAGGGACAGATCCATCAGCATGGAGAATGCTCCCGCCGTCGCGGAGTCCTTCACAGTGCAGCTTCATCCTCATGTCCGCAACTTCAAGGGCCATACCCATAGAGGCAGTGGTATTTCGTGCTTTCATGGGCATGCTGACCGGAAACGGCGTGACGTATCATGCGGTCCGGCGGTGACCTTCGTTCAAACAACTTCACACTATTCGATTTGAAATATCAAACACTATTTGCATTTATGCTGAAATCATGCTGCCTGAAAGTTGTAATTAGTGTATGCGTAAATTGTTGGGGACGGGTAACGAATATCGGGAAAATCCAATTTTCAAGGAAATCCGCAATACTACGTAGTATATTTATCCTGGAGTAGTAGACAATACTCCGTACAAGAACAATTCACCACAATATTTTCAGCAAATTCATTCCAGTGTTTTCTCAATATAATACAACATTCCCCACGGACACTTGAAGTTTGTATATTCGACAATATATTAGACATTTATTTTAACAACCGCATACGTTATCCCTTTGTCAAGACAAATATATTCGAAACGGACACGTTCAACAGAATGTTGTACAATTCCAATGTGACATTGGTTTGGACTGGTCGTGGTGGATGTGTTGCCGGTCGTTGGCATCGTGGCGGGGGCGAGACTCCCACGTCCCCATGGGAAGGTCGAGCCGTTGGCGGCGCCCTCGCACGCGACTCGATGAAGGCTGCCGCCATGAATCGATTGTATTGATGGTGCTGCGTCTCGGGGGGGGGGCACCTCGGTGGGGCTGCCGTGATGCTCACATGCCCGTCTGTGTCGAGCAAAGACCAGTCGTCCGCGGCTCATTCTGCCTCGAGCCCCTACATCCTTGGCGCAGGCTCGTCAAAATCAGGCGGGTGACTCGACGACGCACGGCGATTTTCTCAGAGGTGACACATCCCACGAACAACGACCTGGCGGCACTGGACCACCGGCTAGCCACCATGCACCCGGCGCCACCGACCCGACACAATTCAAATTCAAGCATGGTGGTCAAAGCCGGCATCCTCTACAAGTACAACTCGCCGCTGCTGTGGTGGCGGCCGCGATGGACAGCACATGTGTACACGTTGTCCCAGCACGACCTCCAGGCGTGCGACATCGTCACTGGCAAGGTCGTGGCCGTCGTGCCACTGGCAAACTGCCGGCTCACGCACTGGTGCACCGAACGACACCGAGACATCGAGTGGTTCGACCTGGGGCGGCCGCGCCGTCATCTCGACGACGGGTTGGTGTGGCGCCTCCGTTTACAGAACACCAAGAAGCCATGGGCCACCGTCCACCTGGCCGTCGCGACCGAGCGCGACGCCATCGAGTGGATGGAGGCCCTCCAGGCCATCCCCACCGTGACCACCCTTGAAAACGACTCAGCGTCGACGACGGCATCGGCGGCAGCTTCGTCGACAACCCACAGAGCCACGATCTCGGGCACGAGAAGCTCTACCGTCTTGCTCAAGAGCGCCATCAACCACAGCCTGCAGCAGTACGATCAAGAGCCAGACCGATGGCCACCGACTAGGATTCGAACGTCCAAGAAGTGTTAAATGTGACCATACCGACTTGCCGAGGTCGCCACGTGCCCTCCGTTCGCTCGGTGCGTGTGGTGTGCGGCATTGGAGCACGTCGTGATCGATCGAAACGGCGCGACCAATGCCATCCCGCATGCTTCAACCAGGACAGCCGTTGACGACATTGGGGAGGAGGCTGGCGGTGAGGCTGTCACCCCTGCCGCGATTCTCTCTGTCGAGACGTGCCCGAGGTGACCTGGGGCGTCGTGGTTAGCGGAGCATTCTACCAGGGCTCGAGCTTCCGCACCACATATCTAGGTGGAGACCATGGGCACATCGTCGCACGCACATGCAAACACCGCTGGAACGTTTGCGGGGATGCCATTGGAGTGGCGGAAATACGGCGTTGATAATGGACGAGGCGCAGACACTAGTCGAGGTGGCCGTCGTGCTCGGTGCATGGGCAGTGTCGCAGCCAGCATGAAAGTCCAAGTTGTGCATCAAACTCCAGCGGACTTGGGCCGTGGCGCTCAAATCGTAGATTGCACTGGACGAAGCAGGCGGCACCGCGGGGACTGATGCATTTGAATCGACCTGGCTCGTCCATCACGGCATCCCTACACCTGTCGTGGCGCGGCTCCAAGGTGAGGCCCCGTGTCTCCAAAAAGGCCATCAGGGAGTGCTTTTTGCAATGGGGGAGCAGCCAGGGATGGTTTACTTTGTTGGCGGCCAATGAGTTCATGCGGAGCTTGGAAACCCACGGCGTCGTGGCCGTAGTCACATCGATAGTCAGCAACTACTGAATGATCAGAGGAGCATTGGCGAGCTGCACACACGATCGGGCCAGCGTTCATGGATGCGGTCAGCGCTACGATCCCAGGATCGAGCGCTTCAACATGCCCGACTCTCGTTGCCACCGCTAGCGGGGGCGGCGGCGTAGGGGGGGGGAGCGGGAGGGGGCGGCTTTTGCCACTCTTCCCAGCGTTCTTTCAACATAACGGGCAGATGGCAACGTCGTGGGCCATTCGAACGTCCCTTTGCCGAGGTATCGCGCGACGTCCGTGCATGCGCTCGTTCATCCTGGGCAACAACTTTCCCGAAAAAGTTGCAGCCCCGACACAAGTCTGCTGTAAATCCAAACAATTCCATGAAGTAAACAGCGAAAACCACGTATTATTCCCGATCTGGACGAGATGCACGGGCGATTGCGTATGAAAAAGCCAAGACGACGACTCGCATGCCGCGGGACAGCAAGCGCTTGGTACAGATGGCGACGGGGCTCCACCGATCACAGGCAAGCCAGCTGCCTTTATGCAGTCCCACAACTTGGCTGTGGAAGTAAAACGTATAAAACGTATGGCGTTTTACAACCACCAC